TCGCCACGTTTGCTTTTTGGCGTCCCACTCAGCATCCGTCAAAATCTCTTTGGTCCTCAGCTGTGACGAATCAAGCATTTATTGTGATATTTTTCCCCAGTGGTATTGAAACATTTAAGTTATTATTGTATGATGAAAAAGGAAAAATGCAAGATAAATGCAATGACCAAGGATCTGGATCGCCTTTGCACAGCCCGCAAAGCATGGGTGGACCATTTCTTCAGGAGAAACCATCTGCAAGTTGGAGGGCTGCTCTGTGTCCACATCGGATTTGGACACGGCAACTTGGAGTTGCGCGCGAAACTCCTCACCGAACTCTCCCAAGACACTGGCGATGTCCTCCTGCACCTGCAGGTAGTAGCTGCGGTTTGCGGCATCGTTCAGAGCGGCATCATCCAGTGCAGGCTGGGCACCCGGAGGTGCTGGAGCTGCTGCCTTGGCAGCGCCTCGGACGCCTGCTTTGGCCTTAGCCTTAGCAGCTTGCTGCGTCTGCCGTTGGGCTTTGGCAGCGACGGCGTTGGCAGCTGCCTCTCGGTCTTCGTTGGCCTGAGCCTTCTTCGTTTGCAATTCTCGCTTCACCGTCGCCTCATCTTCTCCGGCGGCGACGCGCTGGGCCAGCTCTGCCTTTTCGGCACCATTTAAACGCCAGCTTGACACATTTTTCAAGGCAGTCATTGCAGGGAAACACAGAGCCACACCTACTACGACCACGAATCGGCCCCAGTCACCTTGAACCAGAAAAAATACGGGCACAGCAGTTCTCACGACGACGTCTTCAAGTGAGGAAGTCAATTTCATTGACATCAAGCAGCTATAAGAATGCGGTGCAATGCATCGTACCAGATTAGGTATATTTAGTAATATATACATTTACAATTCAGTACGCAATTTCGATTTCCCAAAATTAGCCATTAAATTAATCCTAGTCCTAATCAACAGGGCAAACGGGGCTTTGCCGCATCTTTTTTCCCCACAGCCTTCTGTGCTTCTGTCAGTGTCCCGCTCCGGGCCGGAATCTAGTGGTCTTGCAAAGACCTCATGACGGCAGCCTGAGCTTCCATCAGGCTAGCTACGCTCCTAGCGAGCGACGAGCCCGTAGGCTTCTCGACGGACTCCTTTTTTTCTCAGTCTTCTTCTCCTTTTTCTTGCTGTCCGTCTTCTTCGTCGCTTCCTTTTTTTGGTCAGAGGAGGGCGACGAATCTTCTTCCGCCGTCACATCTTCAAACTCCGACGACGACGAAGACTGTTTTTCTTTCTTTACATCCGGCTTCTTTTTCTCAGCGCCGCGAGAACCGCCACTTGGGTTGGCGTTGGAAGCCTTGTGTCGCCGCTTGTTGTCCTCAGGCGCTGCAACTGGCCGGCCACGACGGGATTTCTCCTGGGCGGGGGGCGGCACGCTTGGCGGCCTGGGCACCTTTTCCCGCAGACGTACAGGTTCGGCTGCAGCGCGAGGTGCGGAGTGCTCTGAGCGGCGCGAGGGGGCTCTGGAGGTTCCTCTTTGTTCGCCCTCGCAAGGGCTTGCTCCCACTGCCCCTTCCGTGAGACCAGTAATAGGCCACGAGGTGGTACTTGGAGTTGGCTACGTGGGCAGCCATTCCCACTTCGCCGCCACCGACGGTTTGGAGGCAGACCGCGCACTGCTGCACATCATCCGGCGGCCTGTCATGGTGACCGCCAGTGCGTGGAGTTCGAGATCTCCCACCGTCGTCGTCGGCCTTTCCTTTGTCGTCACGACGATCATCCCGCCGGTGCTCGTCCCGGCGGCGGCGGCGGTGGCGGCGTTGGTCGGTCTCCTTTGCCGGATGCTCCTTAGCTTCCCGCCGCTTAGGAGGATCCTCATCCATCTTGTCCCTTGCCCGCCGATCAGGACCTTCACGGGACTTCGCCGACGACGAATCATCGTCGTCATCATCATCATCCGCCGGCCGGCTTTGCCGGCGGTCTGGGGTGACGGGCCGGTCATCCCCACCTCCCGCAGGAGGATCACCCGTCTCACGGCGGGTTTCCGTCATGGCTACCTGTCAGGGGCACGACAATGCAAGCGACGATTGGGAAGATGACAGTATATGACGATTCTGATGACCCTGAGCATCGAATATTGATCCTAATCAATCTATTGATTTTAGAAAAAATCAATTCAAATCAATCTAAAATATTGAAAAAATGATTTTGAAATCAATCCAAAATTAATAGGTTTTGAAGGCAAAAATCAATATGCAAATCAATATACAAATCAGTATATAAATCAATTCAAATCAATTTACAAATCAATTCAAAAATGAATTGGTTGAACTCTGATTTTGTTACCCTTCCCTTAACCTTGTGTTCTCACAGCTCTTTTGCTTGTGAGCTTGGGGTTGAAGTTCCTCACCTTGCTTTGAAGGGAGGCAGGATTCTCTCCATTTGCAGCTTCCCTTTTTCAAAGGTGAAACTGCTTTCCCATCTTCTATTCCATGTTGCCTTCCTTTTCCATTTTTTTGCAACCCCTTTTTCAAAGGTTGGATCCCCTTTTCCAAAGGCTTCAGGCTTTGTCGCATTCCCTTTTCCAAAGGTTATACTTATACAGACTCTGTTGCACCTTTTTGCAAAGGTTTTTGCATATGTTGTTCTTCCCTTCCTCAAGGGTCTGGGGAGAATTCTTTGGCAGTCTCTGCAAAGCCTTCTCTAGTTAAGAGCAAGTGAAGCAGCACTTGGTACTTGGGGGCTACCTTCACTGACAGCCTGGTGGCACTTACCCCAGAAGAGATGCTATAAGTGAGCAAGCTGACTTTGCCCACAAAATCTTCATTGCTGAAGCACCAATGGCACCTAGGGTTCAGCCATCGAGAATTCTCAATCATGTGCTGAAGTGCATGGTGCTTGTACACCTTATGGAAGAGAAGTCTCTCTTCCTCTTCAGTCCATGCATTCAGCATGGAATAGATGTCAAAAAACCCTTTCCCAAGGGTAAAAACCTTCTCCCACTCTGCAGTGGTGAGCACAATGTCTGCATCACCATACAGATCCACCACTTGTTGTAAGTGTTCCATGCAGTCCAGCATGCACCTTTCTTGGTAGACATCAGCTTGCAGCAATGATCTGCAGACCACCAAGAATGCTGGAAGCATGTGTTTTGCCTCACTACCCTTAATGCTCAAAGAAGGGTATGAGGTGTGAGGGTTCTTGGGGTCTGTGAACATGGTGAGCCTGAGATTGCTCAACCTGGTTGGGCTGTCCAGCTCTTTGTATGCCTTTTGCAAGGCTTCCCACACCACTGCTAACCGCTCCTGGGGGGATTTTTTTGTCTTCCAGGGTTGAACCAACACATGTAGTGGAGGACACTCCCCAGGAGGTGTGAGTAAACCCCATGCACAAAGCATATGTGCAGTGCATCACCCCTGACAAATTTGGTTGACAGCCCTGGGATGGCATTGAACAAGGGGTTTGAGCTGCAGGGATGTGCTAATGCCTGTGCATGGGTCACCCTTGTGAAGGCTTGGGTGTCCATTTCCAAATTTTTGAAATACTTTCCCTGATTGGCAGTGCTGGAGGATGCATCGCACTCATGGCAAGGCCTCTTGCTGGCCCAGTGGGGCAGGCCAAGGGCCAATGCAAAAAATTCAGCATCGCCCACCACTGCCCAAATCACACTTTTGTATCCATTTGCCAATGGTTTCCCTTTGCTTGCAAAGAAGGGCGATCCCTTTTTCAAAGGTGCACCATCAGAATCATGAGATGGGTGCAAGCCATTGAGGAGAGCACTGAATGACCAGCAGACCTCCTTCAGCAAATCATTCCATGTCTCCTCAGTTGTTGCTGACTTTGGCCAGCAGGAGATCAGGAACTTGCTTTGCAAGGAGTTGAAGCATGTCATCAAGGCACCCCAAGACCAGACCATTAAAGAATTGTTGTTGGCATATTGAACACCATCCCCATGGACAAAGAGTGGAATGGTGAACTTTTTCCAATTCCTGGTCTTCATGGGGTGCCCTTCCAAAGCTGGATCCCCTCTTTTTTCAAGAGTTTGCCAGAATTGTTCCAGCAGTGCTGTTGGAAAAAAATCATTGAAGTTGGGCAGTGCTGCCAAGCTGGAGAAGAGCATGTGTGGAAGGATCACTGCTGCTTCTTCCTTTTCCTTTTTCAAGGATTTGGGGTTGAGGCATTGAACTGGGACCTGCATAACCTCAGGCACAAAAACATCCTTGACAAACCTGGCCATGAGGTCCCTGTGCACATTGCCAGGATAAAGGCCATGGCTCCCTGCCCTTGCTACATCACAAACCTCTGGATGGGTGCAGCCATCCAGCATTGCTTGCTCTGCTAACCACCTGCAAGTGGCTGCTGAAAGCTTGCCATGGGCCCACAAGCTCAGAAGGGCTGTGGCTAGTTTGCTGCTTTTCCCTTTCTCAAAGGTTTTCTTGCCAGGTTTGAGTTTCTCTTTTTCAATATCCACACCTCTCAGCCTCTTTACACCTTGCATCACCCTTTTGCAAAGGCTGCCTGGCCCCTTTTGCAAAGGTCACCTTGTGGGCAAAGCCTTTGTGAAAAGGTTGGCTTGTGACCCAAGGCTTAAGCCAAAAAGCTGCAGACATGAACACATGTGGTTGGTGAGAGGGTGGGGGGTGCAACAAAAGTTTAAAAGTGCAGCTTAGGTGCATGGTGAAACACATTAAGTTACAAACAGCAACAAGTACCACACAGCCACCCCAAGAAGCACCAGCAGCCAGAAGCAATCATTTTGCACAGGTTGGTTGGTCTGTGCCTGGTGCTTTTGTGCCCAGGCCACTTAAAAAATGCTACCCATCCCTTGTGAAAGAGTTGCTGTGTGAGGGGTGTCCACTTGCCATCCCCTTTTGCAAAGGCAGCCCCCTTTTTCAAAGGTGTATATGTGTTCACACATACATTGCAGAGGTCGACTTAGTCTCACACACAACAAACACTTTCTTTGTGCCCACCCTTTTGCAAAGGTGATTTCCTCTTTTACAAAAGTGCACCCCTTTTGCAAGGATTCTGCCATGTGTTCACTTTCTGGAACTCTTGGACTGGGTTTTCATACTGATCTGGACAAGCTCCTTGGCTTCCTCTTTGGCTTCTGATATGGTGGCCACAGCTTCTTTCAATAGATCTTTGGTGGTGTTGACCTTTCCCTTGTCACCTTTTGCAAGTTGTTTCTTCACTTTCCCAAGTGTAGTTTCCAGCTTTGAAAGCTGTGCTTCCTTTTCTAGGTACTGCATGCCTTTCACTTTTCCAAGTGCTTCTTCATAGTTTGTCATGCACTGCTGCACCAAATCCCTGGTTTTCTTGAGCTTCTTGAGGCACTCAGTTTGCTGCTCATCTGGTGGCAAGTCTTCAAGTGCTTTGGGTGTCTCTGGGTTGGTATCTCCTTTGCCCCTGCCTTTGCCCTTTTTGGGGCTCACCTTCCCTTTCCCTTTCCCCTTCCCAGGGGTTTGATCCATCATCAGAGAGTGCAGCTCCTTTTCCAAGAAGTTGTCCCAACTTTCATATTCATCTTCATTCTGCTGGAACTCCTGGCCTTGGGTCCAGATCCTTTTGGCTGTTCCTGTGTTTTTTTTGTGTAGTCCATTGTGTCCATGTACTCATAGACCCCCCAAGTTGTCGCACACTGCCTCCACTGCACCCTGCCACTGGAGCAATGCTTTTCCAAATCATCTCCCCGTTTTTCAATGGCTTCTTTTTCTGATAACCATTTTTCTGTCATGGTCACCTCTTGCTTGGTGCCAATGGACCTGCTAACATTGCAGAACTTGGCAGCTTCCTTTCTCATGAGGAAAAGGGCTGTCAGCTCTCCCTTTTCATTTTTAGATGCATTGTTGAATGCATCCCTTTCTTCCTCATTGCCATTCTTGTTGAGGTGGGTCTGGTGTTTGGACCAAGTCCTGCTTTTTTCTGCTGTGGTCATACTCTTTTGCAGCTCCTTGGCTGCTTCATGTTCATCATCATTGGTTTCTGCGATTTGTTTGATTTTGTCCTGGAGGGACAGCTGCCCCAACTTTTGCAAGTTGTGTTTCTTCAAGATTCCTTTCTGGACTGCACCTTTTTTCAAAGGTTTCCCCTTTGCAGAGGCTGGTTTCCCCTTTGCAGAGGTGTTCTTCCCTTTGGCAAGGGTTTGATTCCCCTTCCCAGAGGTTTGTTTCCCCTTTGCAGAGGTTGATTTCATTGCCTTTTTCATAGCCTTCATTGGCTTCCCCATTGCTGCAAAAACAAAAGGGCTGTACAGAAGGAGTTTTGATATCAAAATGGCTGCAATGCAATTTGGTTTTGGGCGCATGTTTTTTTAGGATTTGTTTGATTTTCAATGTGATTGTTTTTTTTCCATGGGCATGTGGTGACAAGAAAAAACAGTTCTGATGAAATCTGATGAAATCTGATGAAAACATGGCTGTCATCAGATTTCATCAGAAAATTAGAACTTGTATTTTCTATTCATGTCCTGATTTAAGTTGGGAATTCTTGGTTTGAAATTGCAGTGCAACCCTTTTGCAAGGGTGCCCAAATTACCAAACATTTGTTTCTAAGAACTGGTTGTTGATAAGGTTTTTCTTTTGGTTTTTTTTAAAGTTCTTTATATATTGGTTTGTTTACTAACTTGTTGTTTAAAGTTTGTTTTAAGTCTTTTGAAATATCCAAATACCTGTATATTAATCCATTTTTTTGGTGAATATATATATATATATATAGAAAAATAAATAATATATATATATATATAATATATATAATATATATATTGTTGTATATTTGTTTCTTAAATAAATGAATAAATTTATTTGTATTTATATTTATATGACTTTCAAATATAGTCAATTTACATAAATTAATTTATTTTATATATATATATATATTTTTATTTTGGTTGGCCTGTTTGGCCTCCAGGTTTCTGTGCCAAGCTGCTGCCGCTGCATACTGGGAAGCAACAACTGGGTTACAAGCAAATGTGTTTCTTATTAATAGTTACTTGTACTGTACCTTAGTTTTTGGGCAGTGGCAGCAGCTATCTTTGGCCAAAAACATGCAGGTGAAACATACCCTTTTTCAAAGGTAAGTTGTTGTTTGATTCATCCCTTTGCCAAGGGTACTTGCTTTTGGCTGCACCCTTTCTCAAAGGTGTTTTGTTTGTGGATACCCTTTTTCAAAGGTATTTGTTTGGTCAAGCCCTTTCTCAAAGGTGTGGTGCTGCCACCCCATTTTGCTTTTTTGAAAAAGGCGCTGACAGCTTTTGAGAAGGAGCCATACAGGGGCAGGCCTTGGTCAGAAACCCAGCTGTAACTTTTACCTGGGCTCCTGATGCAGTAGACCTCAATGCCCTGTTGGTGGCATTCCTTGAGGATGTCCATCCCATCCTCAAAGATGGTGGTGCAGCCATATTGGTTGCACAGGGCTGCTTTCCCACCAGCACCACTTCTTTCTGTAGTGCTGATGAAGGTCACCTTGGTGAACCAATCCTCTTTTTCAAGAGTGGCAAGCACTTCTTTTCTCCTGTGGGTGAAGCACCAGGAGCAAACCACAACTTCAATCCCCTTTTCCAAGAGTAGCTTCATGGCAGACCTGTTTCCAGGTGTGATCTTCCCATCGACTTCCAGGGTCCAATGGAAATCAACCATGACCTTTCCCTTTCTCAAAGGTGTGGCCTGTTCAACCTGATCTTTTTTGACTGATGCTGCAGATGCAGCTGGTGCTGCAGGTGCTTCTGCAGATGCAGCTGGTGCTGCAGGTGCTTCTGCAGATGCAGCTGGTGCTGCTGGTGCACCTGATGCTGCAGCTGGTGCTGCAGATGCTTCTGCAGATGCAGCTGGTGCTACTGGTGCAGGTGATGCTGCAGGTGCAGCTGGTGCTGCTTGCCCCTTCTCCAAGGGTTCTTGTCCACCTGTGGTTGTTCCCTTCTCCAAGGGTGCCTCATCCTTTGCCTTTTCTTCAGGGATTCTGCACAGCCCCTTTTTTCATTGCAGCTTTCATGCCAGGCAAGTCTTGCTTCTTCCTTTTTCCTCCACTCCCTCCTCACCTTTGGCCCCCTGCTCCTGGAGGACGATGCCATGGAGACATCACTCCCCCTGCTGCCCCTGGAGCTGTTGGAGCTGCTCCTGCTCCTTCCCCTTCCCTTTGGTTTGGGAGGTGTTGGTGGCCTTCTCTTTCTGCCACCTTCCTGCTCCTCCTCCTCCTCATCCCAGGCATCCCTCACCCTCCACCCATCATCTCTTTCCCAAGAGTTTGCCCATTCACCTCTTTCCCAAGAGTTTCTCCAGTTTCTCCACCAACCTCTTTCCCAAGAGTAATCACTTTCCCATGAGTCATCTTCCCAAGAGTCATCTCTTTCCCAAGAGTCATCTCTTTCCCAAGAGTTTTCTCCAGGCTGGTGTGGCTGCAGGTGCAGCCTTTGGAGCTTCCTTTTGGTGGAAGTGGTCCCCTTGCCAACTTTTTTACCAGCCTTGTTTCTGCCATCACCTTTTGCAAGGTGTTTCCAATTCATCTTCCACATCCAGCTGGGAGAACTAGTGGTCAATGTTTTCCCAGGCCACCAGTCACCATCCCCTTCTCCCAAGGGTTTGTCCAGTCCCTGAGGAACTGGGGTTCCCAACATCCCTTTTGCAAAGGGTTAAGCACAGGCCACCCTTTCTCAAAGGTAGTATTGGGAGAGCGAATTGGGGAAAAAAAACTTTAAAAAAACTGCTTGAGCAGAAAGGCTGCAGCAGTGGAAAAAGCTGCAGCAGCAACCACTCACCAAACATGTCAACATGAAACACTTAGGGGGCTTCAACCAAACCTAAGAAGCATTTAGGGGACCTATACAGCCCAAAAAACATTTAGGGTGGTTACAAAC